CAAGAGAGACAGAAGAAGAGAGAGAGAGAGGGAGAGACGGAAGGAAAGAAGGCAATGCCGAGACGCCGGAGCAGACAGAGCAACGGAAGCCGAGAGAAGAAGCTGGAAGAAAGAAGAGGAAGATATATAATGCCGTGGTAAGTGTTGCAATTTTCCTAGTATAAATTTCGCTGTGCTAACGCTGTTTACTGTCGCCTGACTGCTAAGTATACTGACGATATTGCCTGTGCGGACGGTTTGTGCCACAATAGACGCGTTATAGGGTGCATAGAGTCTAGAGAGCGTTATACGGGCTAGGATAGATAGCCGTGGCACGCGTGTGATAAAGGGCGAAGAGGGCCCTACGCGAACGTATCATGCGTCACGTTTAACGCATGGAAACGAGGTTAGCATACGCGGCTAAAGTTATGTCTCTGTAAAGACAAGTCGCGTATACACGGTCCGAGAGTAGGACTACGGGGATTTTTGTCACAGCATATATACGCTGGGAATCCTCCACATAACGTGTCAGGGAGCACGGAATATAGATACGCTAGAAGTGTAAGCACCCTAAGATACTGTACTGTAATGTACCGTAAGATAAGAAGGCACAGTAGATAACCGTATGATATAATATAGTTACGCACAGGTGTATAGTTGGATATTATAGTGAGCTGGCGAGGCGGTAATGGCAAGCACAGATGATGTTATTTTGGGAAAAATGTGACGCTGAATACGGCAGAGTATAATTAGTTAGGAACATGGCATATATAATGGCAGGGTTGTTTAAAGATCTCGAGGAGAGTGGTGTTACGAGTGACCTGCGTTTCGATGTATGTGATTGATCACCCATACATTGAAGGCATATGGTCATTAGTGATATTCGTTGTGGATGGAGCTACGTACTCCTGGGGAATCTGTTTTTTTTCGGTGACGTTATGATATCTATTTTCTTCCATTGTATTTATTGCGTATTTTGGTATTTCAAGGTGTTGTGTCGTGGGGTATTGCAAGGGAGACGTGTGTTGTTGTTGTTGTTTTCTCGGTATATTAAGCAATGAACAGTTTAGATCATGGTGGTTAGCTTGACGGTCGGGTCAAGCATGTGGATTATATCAAAGTGGCCAGTGGGATGATTTTACAGGGCTGTGTATCTGTGTATCCATGTTGTATTATAGTGGTCATATGGATTTTTGTTCAAACTGTATTTTTGTATATGAGTATATTGGTGTTCGGTGAAAGAGATATTGTATTAGTATAGTAAGGGTACGAGCAATTTTGGGAAATGTTGGATTGTCTAATAGCCAGGATGAGAGACAGGTGTCTGCGTGTGTGTCTGTGTGTGTGTGTGTGTGTGCGTGCGTGCGTGCGTGCGCGTGCGTGTGCGTGTGTGTACGTAGGGTGGATTAAGATTAGGGTGTATTTTAGATTAGCGAGGACGCTAAAGTCGATGGCTTATAGAAGCAATCGTCATGGAGGAAAGGAAGGTAATGTAAAGTATGGTTTGCAGATGGTAAAAATAGTAGTTGTGTTTAGAAATGTCGCGACAAGTGGTTGCATAATGTGTTGGTCGGCGGTAGCGTGTTTGTTGTAGTATGGATGATGGAGATGCGAAACGGTTGTTTTCCAAATGCTCCCGGGTTTCGTCACCATTATGTCCACGCAGCAACCTCGTTGGGAAGACATATGGAGATATTTTGTCGTTTTTAACACACAACTCCAACACACAACTGAATTTGGGAGTAACCAAAATAATGGTCGACCTAGTTTATTTCATACTCACAAGATGGCAGCACAACTGGGCTGACACCATCCCAGCCACCAGGTGGCAGCATGGGATTACAAACTGATGTGTCAAACAATTAATAAAACAATATTAATAGCCATACTCAACAGTGTAAGATTAGCGATGCTGCCGCTGGTAGTGGTGGAATGGATGCCATTAGCGTTGCTACAATATGCTAAATCATTCCTGATGAAAATACACACCCCACCACCTGATCTATCTCTATCCCACCTTTCTACACTATAATTTTCAATTTTAATTTCAGAGTCATCAACAGAATCATCTAGCCAGGACTCAGATACCGCAATCACTGCAATTCTAGCTTGCATAGCAATATATCTAAATTCTTCTATTTTAGGAAGGATACTGCAAGCATTTAAATGAATGAAATGTAGACCTTTCTTTTGGAAAAAGCTTAATTCTGATGAGTCGTGATGGCATGGGTCTACTCCTGTTATTATTAATCCTGTGTCTCGTTGAAACTTATCTGCCGGGTCTTGAAGTGTAGTCAGCTTGGAGCTCCTAGGGATTGGTTCCTCTGACGCTAGCACGATTGATGTATCCTGTGCTTTATCTGATGCCTCGAGGCCCAAACCTTCTAGTTTTCCAGATGAACTTTAAGGAAGTTTCCAGCCAGTCGATCTCCTCCCTTCCTGTTTAAGTGTAGTCCGTCATGGGTATAGAGGTCCCGCCTGCCCGCGAAGTCTGCCAGGTTGTCTAGATACTTTACTCTACTTGCCTTGCACATGGTCGGGATGGTGTGGTTGATGGACATCAATTTCTAGTTGATGTCTTTAGATCTGAAACAAGGTATTGTACCTGAAACTACTAGCTTCCCTGTTATGTCTTTGCTGCTGGCTTTTATAATTAAACTTTGTATTTCCTTCCTAGCTACCTCTAGATTCTTGTTTAGAACATCATTAACCCCTACATGCATAACTACTGTGCCCTGGCTATCTGAAACATTTACTATCCTATATAGTCTTTCCTCTATATCTTTTGCTCCAGCCCCTCCAAAAGTTACAACACACCTATCCTTTCTATCCCCATCATTGCAAATAGCTTTTACAGTTTGTCTAACTATCGAGTCCCCAATAACTAAACGGTTGTTTAGGTAGCCAAAACTAGGTTGTTTAGAGATGGGCGTTAACCAGCTAAATGTCAGTGCGCTACTCAGTAGGCCCCTAAATGTTTAACCAAATAGGTTTGTGTAATGGTATTTGACAAGTCTTGGTTGTAGTTAAGATGATTTATTAAGCACGAACGAAGTTACAACGTTGACAGGGGCGCTGCCATGTTGGATTCCTTTACTCGCGTACAGCGCTCATAATAGATGGCGCGACGGTGCAGTGTATAAAATAATATGACTACTGCTACATCCCCCCTACCACAAGAAAAAGAAAGTTCAAACATACGCGATTTCGCGTGTGGCAGTGATGCGGTACATACGACATCAAATATACGCGGGATATAGTAGTTCACGAGTCGTTTACGTACGGTTAGCATTCGTTAACTACAGTATTGAAAAATCTCGATTCATTAACGTAGATACGCGGGTAGTCTATATAATTGCAAAGTCTGTGACGCGCAACAAAGTAACAAAACAGATAGTCCAAAGACATGACGACACACAGCCAGTCCAGAAGACCTCAGATCTGGGTAATCAGGCGTTCTGGTGACTTCACTTTGCGACCGGACCTTCTGGTAGTTGAATCGGGTGGCTGTTCTGGTGGTTCCGCAAATGAAACGCGTCGCGGCGGAGTAGGTTCCACTGGCGGTGGCGGATCAGGCGGCGACGGTCCTGGTGGGGACACTACGTCTTCTGGAACTTCGCGGATATGTTGACGATTCCTGCGCAATGTATGACCGGCAGAATTGTCTGTAGTTTCCTACCGAGTAGCAGTTCCGCAGGGCTGGCCAGCTTGTTACTGATCGGGGTGGCCCTCAGCATCAGTAGAGCAAGGTCAAAATCGGTGTTCGTGCCCTTTGCCTTCTTGAGCGTGTGCTTCACAGTTTGTACAGTTCTCTCTATGAAACCATTTCTGTTGGGTCGGCGTGGAGCAGTGGTGACGATCTCAAATCCCCAGTGTGCGGCGAATGCTCGGTATTCCTGACTGTTGTAGTGGGGACCATTATCACTCACGACACGTTCAGGAATTCCGTGCTCTCCTGTATGACATACCTCGTTGGCTGGACATTAATTCCTTAGGGCAGCGAATATGCAAAAATAAGAGGGCGAAACGAATGATGGTTTCCCTCTAATAGAAATCCGGAAAATGGCGAAAGCCGTGTAAATACATCATGTGATTTTAAAACCGGCCGCAGCCACACTCCCACCCAAAATCACCTATGATTTTTCCAAATTGAGTCATTTAAAGTATAACCTCAATTTGCCTATTATCAATCAACGGTATGATACTAATAGAGTACATTAAAACAACGTTCAAGATATCACCAAAAGTTGGTGTAAACTATCAAAACGATATCGGGGTCACAGTTGACAACTAGTCTGAGTTAGAGACCAGGACGATCAGTTTGTGAACAGGTCTTTCGAGTACGGTTCTTTTGTGAAGAGGCCTTCCGTGCTTGTCTAGGTCTGGAGTCGCCATGAGAAGCTTCACTTTGCGAACTAAGCCATCGTCACTGAGGAATGTCTCAACAACCTTGGCAATGCTCCAGTCTGTTCTGCAAAGACCCTCGTCTTGTAGTATGACTATGTCGTCCACTTCAATGTTCCGTTGCGGCTCTGACCAGATCTTTCTGGCCTGGAGACTATGTAGGTATTCCTTCTTCCATCGAACCCAGAACAGATTGGTCAGGTATTGTACGCGTCACCATCTCTTCCGGAGATAGAGGTCCTCTCTCTCGAATTGCCCAGGTGGGGGCATCACTAGGCCTGACTTCATGGTCAGGACATGGTTAGGAGTCAAGGGGACTGGGGCGTCTGGGCATTCCAAATCTTCGACAGTCAATGGCTTACTATTGACAATGGCCATTGCTTCGTACATAAATGTTCGAAGAGATGATGTGCTGAGTTGAGTTCCTGACTGTTCCAGTATTCCGTTTAGGACATTTTTGACATTCCTGATCTGCCTCTCCCAGACTCCTCCCATGTGACTCGATGAGGGAGGGTTCAACTTGAATTCACAGTCAAATTTCAGTAGCTGGGTCACAACTCGATTTCCATCCAATTCACAGAGGGCTTTCTTCAATTCGTGCTTGGCATCGATGAAGTTCAATCCTTGGTCGCACCGAATGTGGCGAACATTTCCCCGGATTGCAATGAAACATTGAGGAATGCATCAGTGGACACGTCGTCCAACACTTCGATATGTATAGCCCTCATTGACATGCAAGTCAGAATTAGTCCATATCGCTTCAACTCCTTTCTCCCTTCCTTGATAGTGAAGGGGTCGAAGCAATCTAGTCCACAGTAGGTGAAAGGACATGGTTCTAGTCTGTCTTGTGGTAGATTGGCTAGCTTTTGTCCTCTTGGCTTGCCTCGGAATCTGATACAGTGGATACACTTGCTGATCAGGGAAGAGACAATACGTCTGCAACCATTGATCCAATATCCACTCGAGCGAAGGGCATTTATGGTCAGATTCCTTCCTTGATGTGCTGTTCTTCCATGGTAGTGTACGGCGACGAGTTTAGAGAGGTGGCTTCCCTTCGGTAGGATGACAGGATGTTTTGCACCGTACATCATTTCAGCCTTCTTCAACCGACCTCCCACCCGCAGCAGATCGTGATCATCAAGGAACGGGTCAAGTTGTCTCAATGGATTAGACTTTGACGTGATTGAGCAGTCCGACTTGATTTGCTTTCTTTCTTCACGAAAAGCTTCCTTCTGGATTGCGCAGATGAGATTTCTCTCTGCTACTTGCTTTGCTTCTACTTCGTCAATGCTCAATCCCTTTCTTCTGTAACGGCACTTTACTATCACTGCGACTGCTGTCAGTGCGTTCTGAAGGCTGGAGAATCGAGTCAGTCTAGCTTCGAAAGATGTGAAATCCTTTGCCTGTGTTGCATGAACAGTGGCGGATTTCACTTCAACATCATCTGGGGATACTTCAGCAGTCACTTCTTGAGGAGGAATCTCGTTCTCCCAGAGAAACGAAGGTCCTGTAAGCCAGTTTGATGACAGCATTTCTTCTGTCGTCAATCCACGAGATGCATGATCTGCAGGATTTTCGGCGCTGGCTACGTAATTCCACTGTTCTGGACGTGAAGTCTGACGGATGCGTTCGACGCGATTGGCAACATACATGTGGAAACGCTTGGTCTCGTTGTGTATGTAGCCTAGAACGACTTGCAAGTCTGTCCAGAAATATTGCGTGGCGGAATCGTATTCAAGTTCATCGATTAGAATGTTGGCAATCTTCACTGAGCAAGTGGCTGCCTGGAGTTCTAACCTTGGGATCGTTATCGGCTTGAGAGGACACACTCGTGCCTTTGCCATGGCCAAGGAGCAGTGGACGTCACCACTTTCGTTCTTCAGACGCACATAGGAACACTGACCGTATCCTGACAAAGAGGCATCTGAGAAGTGGTGTAGCTCCACTTCCTTGGGCGTTCAAAAGTCTTGTGGTTGGAAGCAACGAGGGATTTTGACTGTGTCAAGTTTCAACATCTCCTGTCTCCACTTTTCCAATTTTGGACGGAGCTCGTCAGGAACAGGATCATCCCAGTCCATCTTGCCTTTGCACATCTCCTAGAGGATCTGTCTCCCAACTAGAACCAAATGTGCAATCAGACCCAGAGGATCGTATATGGAAGCGACGGTGGCAAGAATCCCGCCTCTTGTTAGAGGATGGTCCTTGAGGGTAAGTCTAAAGCACAACTCGTCAGAGTCTATGCACCATTGTAGACAAAGTGCTCTTTCGATAGCTGTTGAGTCATGCTGACCGAGTTCCAGACTGGTCTTGGCAACGGCAGCACGTTCTGACTCGGGTATGCTGCTTGTCACTTGTGGACTGTTGCAAATGAATTTGTGCAGACGCAGGTTGCCCTTTGCACAAATGCTCACTGCCTTCTGAATAAGGTCACTGGCATCTTCTTCAGAAGATTCACATTTCAGACCGTCATCGACATAGAAATTCCTTGTGAGAAATTCTGCAGCCTCCACGCTGAGGTCCTTGTGTTCTTCAGCTATCTGCTTCAACCCAAAGTTGGCGCATCCTGGAGAGGAAGTTGCGCCGAAGAGATGGACTTTCATCCGATAGTCCACTGGGGGCTTGGAAAGATCCCCATCTTCCCACCACAGAAACCGAAGGTAGTTCTGATGTAGCTTCGTTACACGAAACTTATGGTACATCTTTTCCACGTCACAGGTGAAAGCAATGGGTCCATGTTGAAATCTACACAGGACTCCGATCATAGGGTTGATGAGGTCAGGCCCCTGTAGTAGGTGATCATTTAGACAGGTTCCTTGGTAACGAGCACTACGATCGAAGACAACCCTAACTTTGTTTGGCTTTTTAGGGTGATAGACTCCATGATGTGGTATGCACCAACTGTTTGACATGGACACTTCTTCTGCAGGAACCTTTTCTGCATCACCTCGGTGAAAAATCTCGTTCATAAAGGTCATGTAGTGTTCTCTGTACTGGGGTCGCTTCAAGAGCTGACTCTTCAATCCCACCAGTCGACTCATGGCAGCCCGCCGATTATTCGGCAGAGTGGGTTCACCCTTCTTGAAGGGGAGGGGCATTTCATAGTAGCCATCGTCGCTTTGATGGATTCCGTCTCTGACAATCTGCAGAAATTTCTTGTCTTCCTGGGAAATTGTGTCCTTTCCATCTATTTCATGGAAGTCCCTTTCCATCATTTGAAGGAAGTCTGCAGTCGTTACCTCCTTTACTTTTGCCTTGCGGGCGTACTTCACGTTTGATTGACTGTCAATCGAAATGGGAGCCTCTACCCTCATGCTGACAGTACGATATGTTTGTCCAAATGTATCGAAGTTCTCTTCAGAGTCCATCTGAGAACCACCTACGATGCTCCATCCCAGTTCCGTTTTCACCGCAAAGGGCTCATCATTCTTTCCAGACATGCACTTATTTGGGGCCAGAGCCCGAGCACAATTGTATCCAATAAGCAGACCTATGGGACAGTCTTGCTTTGGTGTGAGTTGGCCCGAGATACTGTTCAAGTGAGGCCACTGACTGGCTGTCTCTGGTGTAGGGATGTGAGCCTCGTCAAGTGGGATGGAGTTTCTGGAGTATGCAGCAGGGAGTGACACCTTCGTGGCTGACGTGAATCCTCTAACGATAAGATTGTCATATCTTCTGCATGGGATGTTCGTACATGTATCTGTTATTGTTGTCAACCGCAACGTCGCAGCATTAGAAGGTGCCTTCAGTTCCTCTGCGACACTGTCTACGATAAATGTGGTGTCGGACATCGTGTCCAGTAGGGCATATACTGGAATTTCTTGTTTGGGATTGTCTGGACTGGAGCGCCATCTATGCCTGTGTTAACCCTGTGACAGGACGCTTCCTTTTCTTTGATAGTCTTATTGACCTTGTTGGACTTCGTTTCTTGCTTATCGTGTTTTTCGTCTGAAGATGGCTGCTTGAACGTCTCGTCATGAAGGCTGGTTGGGTGACGCTTACTGCATATTTTGCATTCACTCCTCTTTGGGCATTCTTTTGACATATGACCTCTGTTGAGACACCTAAAGCAAAGTCCTTCCTTCTTCACAACCTCTCTCCTTTGGTCCATCGATTTTCGACCAAAGTCCCTGCACTCATCTAACCCGTGATTCTGTCGTTTGCAGAAGATGCAGGTTTTCTGGGTGGTGCTTGGCTTGCCCGCTGTGGAAAAGGTCATCCTTTGTTGCCGAGATGCATGCTTGCTTCCTTCCAGTATCTGGTTGGAGTGGTGTTGATTTTGGTCCTTTTCTGTTCTTGTTGCTTCGTAGGTCACATAAGGATCGTTTGCAATGTCAGCTTCCTCTGCCAGGAATGAGACAAATTTTTCGAATGATGGATATCGTCCACTGCCTTTCTTAAGCTTTGCTACTATGCGGTTCCATCTGTGTCCAATCCAGTCGGGAAGTTTTGTGCAAATTTTGTTCATCTCCCGCATGTCGTTCAGGATCTCCAAGTCTTTGATTTCTGATGAGGCTACAAGACATTGTTGTAGGAAATCTGAGAGATTCTGAAGGCCTTTGTGATCCTTGTTGGCGATTCTTGGCCATGTGTCCAGTTTAGATCGAAAGGCTTCCGAAATTGTGAAAGGGCTGCCAAAGCGCTTCTCGAGCACCTCTTTCGCTTGCTCGAATGCTTTCTCCGATCTCCGCAGAAAGAAGCCGCTGGCAGCATTTCTTGCCGATCCGCCGAGATATCTTCTAAGGTAGTGTATTCTTTCATTTGCTGGGATTCCTTGACATTCGATTAAGGTTGTAAAGGCTGACAGCCAGTCGGCGTACTGGAGAGGATCGCCCATGAATATAGGAGGTTCGGGAATGGGCAGCCTGGTAAGTGTCATTGTCCGAACAAGCGCCTCTGTGAGAGCGTCATTCTGTTGAGCATCTGAGGAGCGAGTTGGATAGAAGACTGGTGACTCTGGATACAAGGCCTTTGTCTTCAACGATTTCTGATTTAAAGGAAGAGGGAGATCATTGGCTCTGGAAATCCAACTCTCTTGTGGCACTGTTTCCTTTACGATTGCTGCACCCTTTTGATGCTTCGGTGATCGAAGTAGTTGCTTTGATGATCTCACAGTCATGGATGAATCCGCATCATCTTCTTCTTCATACACTCTCATCCTAGCTTCTTGTGCCTTAAGTTGTTCTTCTAGGCGTTCCTCTTCGAGTTCTCTGCGTAATTGTGCCATCTTGAATGAAGCCTCCTTCTTGCGAGCATCTTCTTCCAGCTCAAGACGCTCTAACTTCCTCTGACGTTCATTTTGACGCTTCTGAGCAGCAAGCGTCATTTGTAGGGCTGCGGTTTCGGCTGCAGCAACCAACCTCTTTGAGGAGATTGTGGATGTCCTCGATATCTTGGAGGCAGTTGGTTTCTTCCTAGAAACCGCAGTTACGATTTTCGAAATCATATCGACAATAATTGGGGAAAGCTTATCCAAATGCTTAGTTATCTCATTTTCCGTTTCCCCTTGGACTTCTTCAAGCTCCTCAACTACTTGTTGGAGCGAATCGAATCGTGCAGAGATATCAGTTTTTCCGAGAGAAAGTTCGTCGTAGTTCATGGGAACGAAAGTCAGCAATTTGTCAGTGTCCTTTAAGATTGTCAGCATGTCAAGATGCTCTGAATAGAACTTTCCTTCTAAGTCTTCTTCTCTGTTTTTCCTAGCCTTTACTGAAGGTTTTCTTGTGCGGGTGGAGCGACGCACATTCTTGGCAGACACACTATCAATCGTTTCTTTATTTGAGTTTTTGTCTGTGTCATCTTCAAGAACCTGTGGAGTTTCAACTTGATTGGGGGGGGGGTTATTTTGTGAAAGGCTAACACCAACTAAAATATGCGATGACAGGAATGCAATTATCGCGAAAGAGCAGCGGCCATGCTGTGCGAACAATTACAGGAATTGCATATTCAGATGGTTGAATTACTGCGACAGACTAATGTATGTGAACATTATAAATCAGCGCGAAGATAAGAATAATTTCTTCATATTTAAGCACGTAAATAATCACGAGGCAAATTGGATAACAAGCCACTTAGATTTTTCACAAAGTGGCTCACTTCTATTTAATTTACAATGTAAGTTCACCTATTTGTGACACAATTATCTTGCAAGGTTTCTTAATGAAATATACAAAGCGAGATACATTTTACTTGGATTTAACATAATCGGCTTGCTAGGGGTTGTGATACCGCGGTCAAGATGTACGGATCCACGACCAGAATAGTGCTGCAAAAGTCACAGATGAAGAATTCATGTTGGATTGAAGTACTGCCTGGTTGTTGAAGATCAAAAATCGAAGTTTCAGAATAAAGTTCAGTTCTTTATTGTTAATACTCGATTTCGACAGTGCCGTGAAACTGTGTATAAACAATGCACAGAACACAATAAATGTTGAGTATTACAATGAATGAAATACAATGAAACGTTTTTTCAATGACTCAAAACCTCTTTGTCAATAAACGAATTAAATCACAACATGCGATTCATCGCGTGATGAGGCGTATACGATTGCTAATGTGAATTTTACACTGTACATTCTCGCTGACGTTTACTAAACTAGGTAATTAGAAAAACCAACTATATTTCTTAGATGTTGAGTTGAATCATCGTGAATTTAGGATTAAAAGATTCATGAAACCTTCTTCCGTATGACATACCTCGTTGGCTGGACATTAATTCCTTAGGGCAGCGAATATGCAAAAATAAGAGGGCGAAACGAATGATGGTTTCCCTCTAATAGAGATCCGAAAAATGGCGAAAGCCGCCTACAGAGTTACTATGGTTGCGCGCATTTATACAGCATGTGATTTTAAAACCGGCCGCAGCCACACGCGTCGCCTATGTATCGTACGCGGAGAAGGACTGGACGCCTGTGGAATTTAACTACCTCAAGCCGCAGAGATCTTACAACATTCACTCCCTGAACAGAGCCATCGACAATATCGTCTACCACGGTGAGCAATCTTTTCGCCCATTTGCAGACGACATGAATTTAATGTCTTCAAGCATATTATTATAATTATTATTATTTCCAAAATAGATCACGGCATTAGCCGGTACGTGCATGGCTTCTGGGTTGGCCGTGTCCCAACCTGGGACATAGGTATTCAATCCAGAATTTTTCGCAAGATTTTCTGCACTTTATGTGCAGTGTGGTGGCCAGGGAGTTCCTTGAGGTTATTCTCAAGACCATTAGTATTCTAGTATTCCACATCCTGCTAATTTCGATCTCCAGATATTTGTACTTGGCGAGTTTGCCTCTTTCCTTCACCATGGTGTTAGTATCATCTGGTACGGCTACGCCAATCGGCAGGCATTGTTTTTTCTTTCTTGTTGTGAAGCAGTGAGGGCGGTTTGCAGGTATCGTACGATCTGTCTGCACTGCCATATTCCACATTATGGTAGTATCTCCGATGTTGGTAACTGGTCTCGGAGTATGTTCATGTGATATTCAGTGTACAACTGTGTAGTTTTACGTTTCCCCGATAGGGGGCATTAAAAGTCTTCTTGTTTGCAGCAACCATTAGTGTGAGGCGTTGTTTGTGTCCGTGAGATAATATTCAAACATTACATTGGCGACGAGCGGGGATCCTGCCTAAAAAGAGTGTCAGTTATCCATCGATGATTCCTAGTCGTCATATCTGACGGTGACACAGTCGTATCCGGCGTAGGCAGAGTGCAACGGCTAAACAAAGTTAGCGTGAACCCTCGACAACACGCTGTCACTGTATCCAGTGACACGACAAGATGGCAGCGCCCATACCACAGTACTTGCAGTATCCCGCGTTTGACTGCCGTAGTGAAGCAGTCGGGATACGGTGGACTAAATGGATCAATCGACTCAAAAACAATATATTCGTAGCCTACGATATCTCCGACGATACAAGGAGGAAGGCACTGATGTTAACACTCGCAGGGGATGAGGTAAATGATATTTTTGACTCACTTCCTGAAGACGATAAAAATCCTCGTCTCGGAACTGAAGACAAACAGTTTGATCGTGCTGTATCTGCCCTGTCAGATTACTTCAGTCCAAAACAAAACAGGGAATTTCAGCGTTACCTGTTCAGACATTGTCACCAAGCCGGTGATGAATCAATTGAACAATACTATAGTAGACTGTCCCAGCTAGCTGACACCTGTGGTTTTGCTTCCAAAGATGAAGAAATGAAATCACAACTGATTTCCGGTGCTGGTAATGACAGAGTCATGAAAAAGGGGCTAAGTGATCCAAAACTTACGCTGAGCCAGCTAGTGGAATTTGCTAGAACATTGCAGCTGACTGACAATCAACACAAGGAAATGACTTCCAACAACAACGACGGTCAGGCCAGCACAACAGCTCCTGTTAACAGGGTACAGCGGAGGAAGCCACAGGCATACAAGTCAAGCTACCGCAAG